CCCGATTGCCTCATAGACAGTAAACGATTGCCTACGAGCTTCTACTTCTGTCTATACGGTAATTTCTCTACTGTGCGACAGAGCGTCCCGTGGTTATGACGCAATCGTTAGCCTATTTATACAAGAATGGCTTCTACGGGGCCATAACGTAAGATACAAAGCAATGGAGCCTTTTATACATTGTCGTGTTTCTTTAGAAATAAAAAATGGACAAATGGAGTCTTTGGACGCCTCAGATGTAAAGTTATTCGCTGTCAAAGTGACGCCAAAATGAATGGGAGTCAATGGGATGCTAACAGCAGGTGATAGCCAGCTACAATGGCGGCCCCCGGAGGCAGCTTCAACTTCCGGCTGATGGATTACCCCCTTGAGAGTAGCCAGTTAAGCAATGAGGTTTCTTTACAAAGATAAGTTAGGAAATTAGGTTTACTTAATTATTCCGAAAAACTGTTATTGCGGATATTATTGTTACTTGTTCATCATTGTGTCAGTGTTTTATTCACTGACTTTAGCTAGCTTCTTTGCACAAAGAACAACGTAGTGACGAAACGCGTTTGTCCGTTTAGGGCCACTGTAGAAACATGTCGGCGCATTTCAATGTAAGGGGACCCGCAGTGTATGTAGGTAGAAATGGCTTATTCTAAGGTAATAAAAACAACGGTTCATTATGTAAGTTTTTATACACCACAGAAACCATAGTTATGTATATGATATTACATTTGTCAACAGATCCTCCTAAATATTACACAATGCACCTTTATCCTATTCATTTCAACCAATTTAATCTCGTCTGCTTCATTTTTTTTCGTTTATCATAAATGCTCTTTGAATTCAGAACTGTGTTTCTTATAACTCATATAATACTGTATAAAATGAACTGAATGTGTAAAGGAGTTCAGTACAAAAATAAATCATGAGATTAATTGTGATTAATTACTTTAAACTTTTTAAAGTCCTAACCTTGTTATTTTTAACTATATAGGTTTATATCGGTGCCTTGATTTCCCTCACCTTTCAAGCATATCTCTGGTTTCATTCAGCAGCTTTATTGTTGTGACATCATTTTCTGTGAGACCACAGGCCTGGGATAGAAAAAAAAGAAAGAAAAAAAAGGAAAATAATTATATATATATATATATATATATATATATATATATATATACAGACAAAAAAAGAATAACTGATACTTATTATATATATTTATAAAATATTTAAATTATTTATATATATATATATATATAATATATATATGAGAAAAGGTAAAAAATGACAGTTCAAAAAGCTATGTTAACTCTATCATTTTTGTTTTTTATATAAATTAGCGCTGCATGATTCTAGACAAATTGAGAATCACATTTTTTGTTTAAAATAGAGATCATTATTCTGCCACAATTCTGAATAGACAACTAAACAAAATAACATGTAATTTACTAGAGGTTCTGACAAAATATCAAATATATATATATTTAATTAATATGAAAGAATTGTTACTTTTTTGTATAAATCAGTTTTGAATGATTGATTCAATGATTCACTCGTTTCATTACTGGATGAATCAGTGTTCTTGAAAGTCTCTTAAATTAATAATTCTATGACAAATACATTTTTTAACAGTCACTTGTCGCCACCTAGTGGCTTAATTATGTAATTGACAACATTTATCTGAAGCATCAAGTTACTTTAATTATTATTCTTTTTTATTGCTTCCGTTGACCAGTGTGTAGATTCGAACTGTAAACTTTTACCCCAGTACTTTTGTGATAATATGAATCACTGTAACAGAAATAATGATACTGTGTGGTTGGAAACACTGTTTCAGATTTGATTGTTCCGATCTGATCGTACTTGTCAAAGCTTTATTAGACAGAGCCGAATCGTTGTCTTTTAGGAATAAAATTGTGTCTGTTTGAATCGAGATTGTGATCTTTTAACGATTAATCGTGCAGCTCTAATACTAATAAATTATATAAATAATCATAATAAATGACTAATCATTCACAAATAAATGATATATTATATATATGTACCTGTGAGGCTAGCGTGTTCTCTTCATCAGGCATCATGTACCAGGAAAGACTTTTGTGTTTAGAGGAAGCACAGCCCTCCTCCACTAACTGTCTGATCTGAGTTAACTGTTGCTCCAACTCTTGTAGGGACAGACTCTGCTTCAGAGACACCCTGAGGAGACATGAACAGCATTTAGCAGAGGATAACTGACACGGCTCAAAGACACAAGTATGGGATGACTAGATTCATTCATCATCCAATCAAACACTCAGCGTACAGTCCGAGAACTTCCTGGACAGCTTTCTTCACCACAGTTATCAGTTCAATGAGCCCTGAAAAGACAGAAAAAAAGGAACATCGGTATAAACTATAGAGCATATGGCCTGTATGAACAGAGGATTAAACTATAATACAGATTAGACGCTCTTATACAGATCTGACATTGTCCTCACCTTCTCCAAGAAGGTGTTGGATACTTGATAGATATTGTTGTTGAACATCAGGAGGGGCGAAAGGGGTCTAAAGTAGCAGTATAAGAGAAATGTGGTAAAAATGGCACGCGATAACATAATAAAATGACGTTGCTTTGCCATTAAAACACCAAGCCCTGACATACCGTTCCATTCTTTGTCACAGAGTTGTCCAGGTAAAGGTAGCCACCAATTATGTTGAGCTGAACTCTGAGTAACACCACCAGCATGCAAGTGCTGTAAACCGCCACAATGCTGCGGGTAAAACCTGCAGGGCGGAGATCATTTCTGTTCATAACCCATTTGACTGCCATAATGTGATGTATTGGCAAACAGGACATTCAATAATAAATTGTAGGGTGGGAATTTATCTGATTGTGAGAAGAGGGTGTTCCAAATCAGAATCATCGAATCACAATTCAGCCAAAACAATCCCATAATTCTTTGGTCATTGCTCAACTTTTTCCAGTAATCCTCATGACATCAATGGAAAAGAAAATTTGTTATTTGTTTATTACATTTAGCAAAAAACATAAATAATAATAATTACACTGCCATTCAAAATTATGGGGTCGGTATAAGTTTTATTAATGTTTTTGTTCGAAAGAAGTCTTTATTTGTTTGATCGAAAATACAGTTAGAAAATATTGTGAAATGTTCTTACGATTTAAAATAACTGTTTGATATTTTAACATATATTAAAATGTAATTTATTCCTGTGATGGCAAAGCTGAATTTTCAGCAGCCATTGTTCCAGTCTTCAGTATATTGATAAATATTGCTGATTTATGCTGCGTTCACTCCATGCCATAATTACAAAATGAACGTGACGTTATATTTGGAGCAATTATTTGTTTTTATATGGCAACACCATCAACGACAATATGAATCTGCAGCGGTCAGGTGGTACATCGGTCACGTGGTTCAAGTCGAAGCTCTCCGAAAATTCCCAGTTTACAAGTTGGAATTACGATTTCTTCGAGGACATAAAGTCGTAATTCCTATAATTACGACATGGCATGAAGCACCGTTGGTGCTCAAGAAACAATACTTATTATTATCAATGTTGAAAACAGTTGTGCTGCTGAATATTTTTGTGGAAACCAAGATTATTATTTTTTCAGGATTCTTTGATGAACAGAAAATTCAAACCATTTATTTAAAATCGAATTTTTTTGTAATAATGTAAATGTGTTTACTGACACTTTTGATCAACTGTTGTGTTTTTTTCTTCAGAAAAAGCTACATTGAATTGCCATTACTCTTCTATATATTTAAACAACAAAAACTATAGTTATATCAATAAAATGATTAATAAATTACAGACATTTTTTTTTCTTAGGAATAAAGTACACACATCGATAGTTCACAATAAGATTAAAAATGAGCATTAACAAATAAATAGGGTCAATTTTGAGTTCATATTGAATACATCTAGAATACTATTACAGTAAAGAAACTTCTTGAACTCACTAATAATCTTTAGATCCTCCCAGATTTCAAGTTTATTGGCTGGCCTGTGTGGGAAGACATGATGACTTAATGTCAGTTATATTCTTTTATATTATAATGTAGATAATCATCTATAATTTCCATGAAGCATGACTCACTTGGTCTTCAGCAAAGCAGTGAGGCTCTCTGAGTTCAGGTGATGTATGATTGCCTCTCGGAGAGTGGGGAGCATTGATAACACTACAGATAAAAGACACAATTACATACATCAGGCAGAAGAAACATCACTTTCATGAACTGATCATGTAATTGTTTTATTTTACCGGTCATGTTACATGTCCTCTGGTTGCTTTCGAAATGAAACTGTCTCCGAGCTTGAGCGATGTATTCGGCTGCCTCTCGCTCCTGCATCTGCTGAATTTTTCTTTGTGCATATTTACCAAGTAGATAGACACCTGTGCATGAAGTATGAGGATACATTACAATATAATACACAAGAAAGTGATATGCAATATGCAAGATCTATTCAGTAATATAAAATCTTTCTTAAGGCAAAAAATACCAGGGTAAAGTCCATATCGATTTTGCTATGACTGTGCCAATAGAAAATCTAGGTGACAGGTGAGCTGAGATTAATTAGTTTAATGTGGAAATAAGAACTAATGCTTGGCAACACTGTAATAACATGCTAAACTATATACAAGATATTACAGATAAGTATTTTTATTCATCTATTAAAACAATAAATATTTAATGCACAGTCACTAGCTAAATATGTCTGAACTATAAGCATGCAGGTGGTCTAGTTGCCCACGTACCTCCAACAAAAACCCCAGTGAAGATGAATTTCCTCTTATGGCGTTTGATGAAATTCCATGTAGAACTCAACATTTTTAAACCAGACTTGCCACCACAAAAACCACAAACGAAAACCTAGATGCAAGAGCGTGTTTGGACGTAACTTACTAGCTAGCACAATGCTACATGGCAATAACTTCTCATGGTAGCAGCAAGCAGGCGAACTACACATAACAGATCGAGTCGATTGATCGATTATCCGCTCGATCCACCGCCCTGGAAGGTCCATCCAGTATTACGCTCCCCGTAAACACGTGCGCGTGTAAACAAAACACTACTTTCCCCCAGATTTGTGCTGCTTTTTTTGTACGGTTATTCTTTTTGTTGAGGATACTGATAGATATGCAAACAGATAGTTTTGATCCCGAGAAGAGTGAATTTCTGCAGCCATCAGAAAGTGAGATACAGACATGGATGTCAAAGGCGTTTGATATGGTAAAGACTCTCTAATGTTCACTGTTTCTCGTATTTACCATAAGTGTCATTTCCCCTCCAATACCTAGTAAAGTGTGTATGTAAGTGTATATTGTGTGTGTGTGTGTGTGTGACTGTGTGTATTAACTGTAGTTGCTGTGGTATTTTCATTGCCATAAATGTGTGTATGATAATGGTGAATTGTACTTTGGGTTGTTTTGAGAAAATAATATTAACATGTGACATATTAATATGACACATGAATTACTTTTAAAGGCAATTGAAGCCCTTGAGAATGGTGAGGTTCCAGTTGGCTGTTTGATGGTTTATAACAATGAGATTATTGGAAAAGGAAGAAATGAGGTGAATGAAACAAAAAATGTAAGTGACTTCACAATACGACTTCATTTAAATAATCATCATTTATTATTATTACATTTATTACGGTAACTGAAATGATGTCTAAGCTAACAATACTTAATCTAGCTGACTATAGCCCCTATGCTCCAGTATGTATCTCCAAATGATAATTGATCAATTTACAGGACAATCATATTTTTTGGATCTGTTAAGTTATTCAGAAATACATAAACAATGCGGTTCATATAGAGCATGATGTGAATACACCTCCTCTATGATGGACACGTTTAATTTCTGAATCTAAATTAATTGTGATATTTTTTTAAGGCTGAAAGGTGGTGTAATAGTTTACCGATTGTAAAAAATAAAAGTCTCATTAGAAGGCTTATATGATTCATGATTAAGATGTCTACACTCAAGGTGTAAGGAAAATATTTGAGTATGTTTCACTTTAGGGGTTGCATAATGTCAGTTTCTAAGAACATTACTTACGAACTATATTTTTAAAATAATTTCTACTTTTTGTCATCTTAAACAAACATCCTTATTTGCCATTGACCCATATATTATAGTTTATGTCAAGGCATTTTGATTAACGGTTCTTCCTAGTAAAGCTAAGTAAAGTTCTTCCTGCTTTGCCCAAGGCTACCCGGCATGCAGAAATGGTGGCACTGGATCAAGTGCTGGATTGGTGCCGTTTTAGAGAGAAGGACCCGAAGGAAGTGTGTGAACAGACTGTACTGTATGTGACAGTGGAGCCATGTATCATGTGTGCAGCTGCTCTGCGCCTGCTTTGTATCCTTTGAAGCCAAAATGTGGTTAATTATTATTTAAATGACATTTACACAAACACTACCATTTAAAAGTTTGGAGTGGCTAAGATTTTTTATGTTTTTGTAATGAAGACTCTCTTATGCTCACCAAGTCTGCATTTATTTGATCAGAAATACAGTACAATTTTGACTATTATTACAATTTAAAATAACAGTTTTCTATGTGAATATATTTTAAAATGTAATTTACTTCTATGATGGATTGTCAGCATTATTACTCTAGTCTTCAGTCTTCACGATTCTTCAGAAATTCTAATATGCTGCATGATTTGGTGCTCTTATTTTATTAATGTTGCAAATGTATTATTATTGTTAATGTTGAAAACATTTGTGCTCCGTATTATTTTTGTGGAAATCATTTTTTCTCTCTGATTCTTTAAAGTTCAAAAGCACCACATTTATTTGAAATAGAAATCGTGTGTAACGTTAGAAATGTCTTTACTGTCACTTTCAATCAATTTAAAGCATCCTTGCTGCATAAAACTATTAATTTTTAATTTCTTTTAAAATCCTACCAAACTTTTGAACTGTAGTGTAGATCTTTGTGTCAGTCACAGGCCTTCCTTTTATAAAACAATTACTATCAAAAGTAGATTTTGAAAGTGTTATTGTGTTTACCACAGGATTTTATTGTCTAGTATTCATGTCATCGCTAAAAGAATACCTTAACATTTAGACAGACTTTCCTCTTGTTGTATATGGGTGCAAAAATGAGCGGTTTGGAGGCTGTGGCTCCGTCCTGGACATCTCATCAGATCATTTACCACACACTGGAACTACATTTAAGGTAAAAGTATTCCCTCCAATTCCTATCCAGTTAAATATAAATTCCAGCTCATGCTCCAATTCAAAAGAAAGCCAGTTCCTTAAATTCTGAATTTTGCCCAACCGTTCTGTGTGGCTAGAATATTTTTCTTGTAGTAACTTCCACATTCCCTCGATTTTAGACCAGACCACATTGCATATTTTTGCTGTAGCACATGCTTATTTGCTTATTACAGTGCATCGCAGGCTATAGAGCGGAAGAGGCGGTTGAAATGCTCAAGACATTTTATAAACAAGAAAACCCAAATGGTAAGGGAAGTCTTTTTAATGTATGCATGTTAATTGTTAATCTCCATTGATGTTTTCATCGACATGTTTCTGAAACATGATGTTTTTTCTCCCGTTTGTTAGCTCCCAAACCTAAAGTGAGGAAAGATTTGGTTAGTCCACCAGGTGGCGCTGTAGTCATTCAGGCAAAACAAGGACCACAAGATTGAGGAGAGAGAAACAATTGGTCCTTTGAGCTGAAATGGAAAATATTTGAACATTCAGACGATTACATGACCTCGTATCTCAATGATTTTGCCATCTTTTTGAGATCATTGATTTAATCTACTTCTATTTGAGGAACCACATTGTCTCATTAGCCAGACCACATCGCTCGTAAACCTCCAGGCCTCTTCTTCTCTGTGGCTGGACGCTGTGAGTGTCTTCACAGCATGTGGAAGCATAAGACTAGGCCTGTTCTGCATTAAAGTGCAGGTTCTTCTCCAGCTCTTGCTCTCTATGTGTCCTTATATAACCCAGAACACTGGTTCTGAACTCTCCATGATCTCAGTCTTGGGCTCACTCGCAGATGCAGGGCAGACCCAGGTGGAGTTTCCACTTACTTCATTGCCAGAAACTTTAAAGGGATAGTTAAAAATGAATGTCTATCATTACTTTCTCACCCTACATTTTCTTCCATAGTGCAAAAAGGTGAATTTCATGAAGATTTTTTTTTTTTTTTATGAATACCAACCTAGTTTTTTTCAATATCTTTTAAAAGTGAATGAAGACGGAGGCTGTAAAAAATACAATAAAAGTATCATAAAGCATAGCTTTGTGTTGTCCTTTTGTGTTCCCTGGAAGATGGTTTGGTATGACATTAGGGTGAGTAAATAATGACTAAATCATTAATTTTGGGTGAAATATTCGAAGATCTTGATTCGGTTTGCCTGTAATTTATCTTTTTTTGTAATACCTCTCACACACTACCTTTCAAATACACTGAACCTTTGTTGCGTCCTCACCAGTGTTGTTTTAGTATTATTTCTATACTGTTATATTTTTTATTAATAATTTCAGTTAACCTTTTTTTATATTTTCAGCTTTCATTTTCTTTTTAGTTTGATTTTTTTGTTATGTGCTTTTGTCATTTGTATTAGTTTTTGTTTATTTCAAGATAGTAACTTTAGTGCGCCAACTTAAACTTATTTCAGTTAGTTGCCAAAGCAAATTTTCTAAAGTTGTTTTCATTTTATGTTTTCGTGAGTCAAAATGACCCGAAGCCCTAAAATTATACTTTTTTTGCCCAGAAAGCTTATATAATTTCATTTTTATAATATATTTCTCTATTTTTCTATTTATTTACCTTTAAATGACTAGATTTCTATCAATAAATAATATAATTTAAGCACATTTTTCACATTCTTTGAACTTAAATTCAAGTGCGACAAAATTCATACGGTCTTGGACCACTCCGATGAACACTCAATTTAAAAAAAAAAAATCTTCAGTTCAAAATGACCCGAGTGAGGTTAATTCCATAGTTAACAAAAAAAAGTTTTTAATAGTTTTAGTTAATAATAACCCTGATCTGCTCACTTCCACTCGTGAAAGTATTCATGTTATGTTGCATTTCTGGCTATTAAAGTATAGCGTATCTCTCATGAGGGGTATTATAATGGTTTCTAAACCCCACATTATTAAATTGCCATGTAATGTGTTATTAGTGGCTGGAAGTGGGTTTCTGTGGGTACGTATGTTTTGGAAGTAGATATGAGGTGTCTGAGATCTTAAGGTCTGTCATTTTTCAGGCCCTGTCGTCTTACATGGTTATGGGTTCTGCCGGCCATATCATAATATGAATTTGAAACATTTCAGTTGCTCTGTTATTGTCTTTGTAAGTAGAGAACCCATGGGTTTAATTGTTTAGTGACGAATGATCAGACATTGAGCTCACAGCTGGCTTTTTAATACGAATGTCCTATCTTGATGTTGAAATGACAGAAGCTGTCATTAATAAATAAAAATAATCATTTAGATTCATTGTGTAAGTAGTATGATCTTAGTAACCGATTCAAAACAACAGAGCGCTGCCGCACACCTGGTAAGCATTTGACAGGTGTTATGGCCTGGCAGTGTTACGCCATGAGTCAGTGCGAATAAAGAACATCGTAAAACAAGCTGCACCCACCTACGCGGCCCCTGTTCACATGGAACGAGAACGATATTTTGTCTCTAACTCTTTATCCATAGACGGTATTTCATAATGCTTCATTCATAGAGTGAATAGAACTTTTTTTTTTTTTTTTTTACAAACAAGCAAGCCCAACCCAGGGTGAGAAAAAGTAACGGAAAAGTAATGTAACGCGTTACTTTCCATAAAAAGTAACTCAATTAGTTTCTTTTTTAAGGGAGTAACATAATGTTGTAATGCATTACTTTTAAAAGTAACTTTACCAAACACTGCTGGTATATTTCATAATATATTTTCCAATGTTATTATTTAGAAAATTGAGGTGAAATTGTAGTTTTGTATATACCCACAGCGGTCTTAGGAAAGCTCACTGAGATGGTGAAGACACAAGGCGTTTTATTCTATAACCAATCAAGTATTATCTTTAAATATTAAGGGGTAATTTCATTATTATTTACAGAAGGAAAGGTTACATGAAAATTTGAGCCTTTCTTTCCAGTTCACTTTTTTCTTAGTCAACATGTATGGCCATTCGCAACATTTTTTCTTTTCTCTATCGACTTATTTATGAGAGAAACAAGATATTCATTGATAAAAAGAACATAGGATGAATTGAATTGTGAAAAGTTAGTGTTTCATATCCGAATAAAAAGCTGTTGGTTTACATTATCCAGTTGCATTACTGTGGCAGGCACAGTTTAACCTTAAATAACCATGAACTCTATTTTCACAGCATTTATTATTCCTGGATAATGTTTATTTCTATATACACCTCCATTCAAAAGTTTGTTTTTTTAAGATTTTTAAAATGCTCACTTGGGGTGGATTTATTTGATCAAAGTTAGATATTATATTATTTAAAACAATTCTATTTTTTTCCTATAATAGCAAAGCGGAATTTTCTGCATTATTACTCCAGACTTCAGTGTCACATGATCCTTCAGAAATATGATTTGCTGCTCAAGAAGCATTTCTTATACCATCAATGTTGAAAACAGTTGTGCTGCTTTATATTTTTGTGGAAATAATGATCATTTTTTTCAGGAATCTGATGAATACAATGTTCAATAGAACAGCATTTTTAGCATATTCTTTTTACAATATAAATGTCTTTACGGTCGTCTTTACTGAATAAAAGAATTTCTTTCAAAAAATAAAAATGCTGACCCCAAACCACAAATTGTAGTGTATGCTAAAACGTTTTTAACATTAATTAAATTAAAAGGATGTCACCTCAAAAAAAAAAAAATTCATACAACGACAATCCAGTTCGTTGCTGTTTTGGACCCCTTCTTTCATAAAAAACACTTTCATAAAAATTTCATCTTTTGTATTTCACAGATGTCAGTCATATAGGTTTGGAGCGACACACGAAGATGAGTGATGCCAGAAATATTCCTTTAATAACAAATAATAACCTATGTTAATTCTGTTAAAATTGTAAGTTTATGATACTTAATGCTTTAACCAATATCAAATTAAACTACATTAGAAAGTGTTACCAAAGTAACATGAGTGGTTCACAAGACCAGGATTAAGAAAGTAAACGAACCTTAGAGAATGTGATCCAAAGTGTTAAAAGTTGTAGTCATTTATAGATTTGTGAAGTCCAGGCCAGTTCATTTATCATTGAGCTGTCCTTCAAATGCATCCATTTGCACTGCACAAAATCAGCTGTATCACCTCATTTACATTTTTTTTTGTTAAGGTTGTTAATGCACATTAGGGAACCGTTCAGTTTGGTACTTCTACGTGCAGGAGAGGCAGTGTTAATGAGGAGACTGAAGTGTCTTGACGGAGAATTTAAGCACGCACACACTTTCACTCTCTCCACACGCTGCCAAACACACAGCGCCCAGACTAAATTGTCAACAAGACTGTTGTCAGGCAGACCTATCTGAATTTTAAGTGTAATATTTATGATGGATCATAATGAAGTTCAATTGCGATCTATTTTTTGACGATTCCTCCGAGAATAAAAATGATGCATGATAGGGTGTGAACATGAAACAGGAGAGTATTTTGACAGTTTTGTCTGAAAATTTAGATGTGATAATACAAGGTTTCTCATTATCGCTTTTCTTTGCTCCTCGCATATCCGCTTTTATCCCATGGCATTTCACTTTTCTGTTGCACCAAATTCTTTTTCTTGGCTGTTCGGGACACATTTTGGACTTTAAGTTGTAGCCTACTTTAAGGGGACGAGGTTCAGCAGGGCCTGGTTATTTGGACTTGTCCATCAAAAGGTGATTGTTATTCCTTGTCGAGCAAACTTTTTCCTCAGGCCTGAAATGTGTGTGTTTCTCATTAAAAGAATGTCCAGCTCTGCACAAAGGAATTGTTATGTTTGGGTAACATCTGTGTCTTAAAAGTCCAGGGCGAAAAGGCCAGAGAAAATATAGGACAAACATTAAATCATAAGTACAACAATTTTTTCCTCTGTAATTGAACGGTTGGCTCTACTTTTCCCACAGAATTGTGGTGCGTCTGTCTGTGTGTAAGGGGAGAAAGAAAATAGCTGAGTGAAGACTGTAGTTTTCATTTCACCATTCTTCTGCATCCACAGCTTCGGAAGAACATAAAAACGACTGTGAGAAAATGTGATTTTCAAAAGTTTTTTATTAATAAAAGAAGAAAATAAAACATATTAGAGAAGTAAACTAAAAAAAAGGCTGGTCTTATCCATGAGATATAAAGAATTTCGCCCCTTTAAGATTAAAAAAAGTTATTGAATTTGGAAGAAACACTTTACAATAAGGTTCCATTTGTTAACATGAACTAACATGAACAAAAATTAACAATTGTATTTTATTAACCTGTTACCTGTCGCACGTCTTGATTTTGCCAAGTTAGACATGATACTGGAACAACATTCCTGTCTGAAAATGTCATTCATAACCACCCATATCCCTAAAATCAGAGGGAAATGATAAGCGAATAACACTGATAGGAGCACCTAACCTGGTTGTAAGCCCAAACCAAACTGTAAACTTGTCCCTCAAATCTGATTGGTTGATTGGAATGTTGTTCCAGGATCAACAAAGATGTTCATCCAGAAACATGTTGCACGTGGTGAAATCTGATTCTGCATTACCTGTCACCCCCCTTTTTGAGCATAGATCTGAAAAGGTTGTAATTTATAAATGCTAAAAGAAGACACTTTACAGATTATTCCAGAAGTGAAATAAGCTTTTAAAAAAGCAGGGTTTCTGCAAGTCTTAAAAAGTCTTAATTTGCCCTTACACAAATGAAGGCCTTAAAATGGTCTTAAATCAGAGCAGGAAGTCATATTTCATAAAGTCATGGCATTAAATGTATGTTGCATACATTGCAAAAAATAAATAAGATATTTATAAGTTATTTTTGTCCAATACAAAAATATAAACATATAAACAAGTCTTGAAAAATGTAATAAAATTTAAGTGAGTTTATGCTTAAAACAAGAACAAATATCTGTCAAAACTTCTATAAGCAGATTTTTTTCTGAGCCCATTGGCAGATATTTGTTCTGGTTTTAGTCATACATTTCATTTTGATCAATTTCACAGAAAACAAGACT